AACTTAAAACTTGTGTGTTGGATCCTAATATACCATATTTAGTCTCAATTATGAAAATAAGAATGTGATGTTTATGTTATAAGAATTTTGAATCATCAAATTATAATAAGATTTATATGATGATTGTGCCCGCGCGACGCGGACAGGTACCTAGTTTGAAGTAAATTTAACTAATAATTTTGGTTATTCAATTAGGCTTGAATAACAAAATAGGAGAGTAGCTGAATAATAACATAGTGAAATCAATAAAAAGAAATATTATAAATTAAATATACTTAAACCGCCAAAAATGCTATTATTTATTAGATTAACGAAAATTTATATTAAAAAAACTAGTTATAAATTTAAACGTATAATGAATTGCAAAATGGCTTGTTAATTTCTATTTTTGATTATTTTGTGATTAATATTGTGAATTGTATGTATTTGGCGGAATCATATTTTCAAAACATGAAAACGTAAAATCTATATACTTATTTGTATAGTGAAAAGCAGATGTGAAAAGCAGATGTGTCACGCTCACAGCGAGTTTCATGGTGTTTCGTTTACGTGTCATCGCCAGAATGAGTTTCGGCTGTAAAAATATATATTTAACCCATTTAGCTATTACATGTCATTTTTTTATTGGTTCTTATATGATGATGTGTTAAAAATAACTTAAAATAAACCGCTCTAAATTATTATGGTTTAATGTTTAATTTTGCTGTCAAATCTAACTGTTTCTAAAATTTTGTAAAACCAAAATTTTAAAAAAATTCTAACAAAAAAGTAAAAAATAGAAAGGAATCTATATATCTAACTATAGAATGTCGTTAAAAAAAGGAAATTATCTCTAACTAATGGAATGCCACTTATTTGTGAACGATTCTTGGGTTCATCCCTAGGGATGAATCCTTTCATTCACCCCCTCTTAGTTTAACCAATGAAAATATGCCATGTAATAAAATTAAAAACAGCAATATATCAAAACTGCATATTTTTAAAATTCCTTTTTAATTGGACAAAACTAAACCCTAAATTGGAAATAGTGAACCCAAGCATAATATTAAACTTAAATTTTAAACATCAATTTTTTTAATTGGACATAAATAAATCCTAAATTAGAAATAGTGAACTCAAACATAATATTAAACTTAAATTTTAATCACAAAATTTTTTAATTGGACAAAAATAAATCCTAAATTAGAATAGTGAACCCAAACAGAATATTAAACTTAAATTTTAAACACCAAATTTTCTAATTGGACAAAAATAAACCCTAAATTGGAAATAGTGAACCCAAAAATAATATTAAATTTTATTTATAATTTATTTTGGATTAACATATATTTTTATATACTATTTTATCTATTTTTGAAATTTTAAACACTAATCCCTAAAACTTAAACTTTAAACCCTAAACCCTAAATTCTAATATTTCTACCCTAAACCATATTCTGTAAACTTAAAAATAAGTTAAAAATAATAATAAATACTAATCCCTAAATTTTAATTTGTAAATCTTAAAAGAAATTAGAATAAATTCTCAACCCTAAAACTCTAATCCCTTAATTCTAAACTTTAATCCATTAACTTTTAAAAAAAATATTAATATATATATATATATTTATATTTATTTATTAAAAATCTGTGTGAGTGTTTTAATTATTTGATTTTCATTTTTTATTTTTATTTAAAAATAATATTACATGCACATTCTAATTGGCTCAAATAAGAGGGTTTGAATAAAGAGATTCACCCCTAGGGGTGAACCCAAGAATTTTCCCTTATTTGTATTGTGATTTGCTTAGGTGTCAGCTCCACGGCGAGTTTCAGAATATTTTGCTTACGTGTCATTTCCAGAATGAGTTTCAGTTATAAAAAGACATTTTAATCCTTTTTTTTAATTACATGTCATTTTTTGATCGGTTCTTATCTGATGATGTGTAAATGACTTAAGACAAACCGCTCTAAATTATTGTGGTTTAATATTTCATTATATTGTCAATCAAACCGTTTCTAAAATTTTATAAAACCAAAATTTAGTAAAAATTTAACAAAAGAAAAAAATCAATAAATAGTCTAATGGAATAACAGTATTTGTGATGTCTAGATTAGAGTTTTCGACTTCAATCATATTAGTATAAATATATATGACTTCTTTCTACTTCTCTGAGTTCTCTCACACCCTTCTAAATTGTTTAACCTCTTCTTTTTTCTTCGAATAAGTTCGTACAGTAGTTAAAAAAAACTATGTCTAAAATACATAGAACAATGATCAAAATCGAATAAGTTCGTACAATACTTAAAAAAACTACGTTTAAAATACATAAAACAGTGATCAAAAGATCTTAAAACTATTTAAACTAGATTATTTGGATACTAATATGTTTTTATATATTATCTTCTACATGGTTTTCACGATCATGTCTTCAAACACTAAAATGCAAGAAAATCTAACAAATAAATATACTTAACAATAATGAATAAAAAAAATGAATCCAAACTATTATTAGATTTACAAATAATCAAATTAAAAATTATATCGGAAAAGTTCACTAATAATTAAATATCATTCAATTCGTTCGACTCTTTAGTTTTATATAATTTGTCCACGCTTCTCTTGATTTATTATGTGGAAATAGGAAGTGCTTTGATGTAACTCAGATACATTTGTTATAGTTGATTTTGAATGGATAATTCATAATTTCTATTTCATCACACTGTCTTGTTTGTTTCAATCAATAACATTTCGATCTTCAACTTTTGTGCCATCCTAATTGAGAGTTTTAGCTCTAGTCACCTAGCACAGCCCACTAAATTTTATTTGTATTTGATTGGGCTTGTTCCCAAAACCGATCTAGTTTTCCTTAAATTGGTAATTATTAGGCCTTGTCAATATAATCAGAAATGGGCTAAAGTGATCTAGTAAAAACAAAAGGTTATAAAACAAAGGCCCATACAATTATGAGGTTCTAGATTGCTAAAGAAGTTTCTGGAAAGCTTGTGTCCACATGCTTAGACAAATGGCAAGAAGAAGCTTTGAATACAATGTCTAGAACCTTCTTTTCTCTCAACTTATATCCGTTTCTCTCTCCTCCACGCTTACCTCTCAAGATCAAAATTCTCTCATAACATTTTCAGAAATTCACAAACTTTCCCCGAACCAAAGTTTCTATTTTTTTTGCTGTAGTAAAAACACAGACCTTGAAGAGACAGGATTAAAGTTTGCTTCTTCTGGCGTATGGAATTGAAATGGAGCAATTGAAAGTGGAATTTGAGGAAGAGACGGTGACGTACGGTGGTGCGACGGCGGCAGCTTCGTCGTCTGTGGGATCATCGTCGTCTCCGAGACCAATGGAAGGGCTAAACGAGACAGGGCCTCCTCCATTTCTCACGAAGACTTACGAGATGGTTGAGGATCCGGCGACGGACACGGTGGTTTCTTGGAGCAATGGCCGTAACAGCTTTATCGTTTGGGATTCTCACAAATTCTCCACCACTCTCCTCCCTCGTTACTTCAAGCACAGCAATTTCTCAAGCTTTATCCGTCAGCTCAACACTTATGTAAGTGCCTCTCTTGCTATTTCAGCATCTTAATTCTTGTTGTACTTATTTTGTTGTTTCTAATCTCGATTTTGGATTTCTTTAGATGGATTTTCTTAAAAGGTTAGTCCTCAGCTATAAAGGTTAGTTCTTTGTGCTTTTTAAAACTAATTTCAAATGGGTTTCGAAAATTTCGTTCGAAAATATTGTTAGTTTGATATGAGATTGTAGGTAAATGTTAGGGTAGCTTAGTCTCTGAGTTAAGCTATAAATTTACTAATTTGGCTTGTCACACTGCAAAATCACTGGAAATGAATTAAGCTTTTTGTAGAATTGAATAGGCTAATGTAATAAGAAAGTAGTTTGATTTAATTACTCTGTTTCTGAAGGTTATCAGTCTATTACACTGCAAAATCACAGAAAATGTAACAGAAAGCTATAGGATATAGTGGCATAATGGAATAAGCAAGGAAGTTTTGATGTAACTGAATTCTTGGGGTAACATATTTCTTTCTATTTTTATCACTAATCTGAAAAACCTGGTGTTGGGTGAATCTATTTATTTAAATTCAAATGAGGTGCTGCTCACAGCTTACCTTGAAACCTCTGTTTTTGAAAGTTAACAAATTCTTGAGAGTTATGACAATAAGGATTATGCTCTAGACCAACATCCTGATGAAAGCTTTTCTTGTATTGCAGGGATTTAGAAAGATCGATCCAGATAGATGGGAATTCGCGAACGAAGGGTTTTTAGCAGGCCAAAAGCACCTCTTGAAGAGCATCAAACGAAGGAGAAATATGGGTTTGCAGAATGTGAATCAATCAGGATCAGGATCAGGAATGTCATGTGTAGAGGTCGGGCAATACGGATTCGAAGGAGAGGTAGAGAGGCTAAAGAGGGATCATAGCGTCCTTGTGGCTGAGGTAGTTAGGTTGAGGCAGCAGCAGCACAACTCCAAGAGTCAAGTTGCAGCCATGGAGCAACGTTTGCTCACTACAGAGAAGAGACAACAGCAAATGATGACGTTCCTCGCTAAGGCCTTGAACAATCCGAACTTTGTTCAGCAGTTTGCATTGATGAGCAAAGAGAGGAAGAGTCTGTTCGGTTTGGACGGCGGGAGGAAGCGGAGGCTTACTTCTAGTCCAAGCATGGGGACTATGGAGGAGAGGATGTTGCATGATCAGGAGTTTGATAGAATGAAGGAGGATATGGAGACGTTGCTCGCTGCAGCGATCGACAATGAGTCGAGTAATTTGATGCCTACCAAGGATGAGCAGTGTTTAGAAGCTATGAATGTGATGATGGAAGATAGTAATCTAGAGGCAGAGATGGATGTGAAAGTTGAAGATTTGGTTGCTTCACCGTTGGATTGGGGCAGTGAAGATCTACACGACATTGTCGATCAAATGGGTTTTCTTGGATCAGAACCTTGAGTATACAGCTTAACTTGTTAACTGGTCTCAAGACATTTTATGGGGGTCTAAGTTGTGGTAATTGCTACCACGTTTTTTACTTGTTCAATTGTTCTATTGCTTTGTCTCAATGAATGCCTGAAGTGTTGTGTTTTTTCCTGTTCTAATGAATAAAAAGCACTGATTTGATGTTCTTCCTTCTCCAGATCTTAGAAGCAAAACATGTCTACAACGTTTGAAGCTGCATTCAACATTTTGGAGGTTGTGTATAAGACCTGAATTCAGCAACTCTTGTGCAGATTTATTTTGGGAAAAGAGACCAAGAAGCTATGCGATTGCTGCGAAGGTGTGTTTGGACACAAGTTAAATTCACATTGTCATGTTGAAGAATTTATAACTTATGTATGATGGTCTTTAGAGCAAATAAACTAGTGAAACTTAGAATACTTTATTTTGTATTTTTGTAATTGTAGCAAATAGATTTGTGAAACTTTAGAATACTCTGTTTTGTACCTCTTTTACTTGTTTGTGTGTACTATTTAGTCTTTTTACGGATGAAAATCAAACTGATGGTGATTTGCAATAACTGAAACTTAATATTGTAGATAATGTTTTTGAATCGTAGATAGCCCAATTATTGTAGTTAGAGCACGTCCAATAGGAGTTCTAAGGGGGTTGATGGTGTGAATTGATGGTGTGAATTTAGAGAAAATTGCTATTTAGAGAAAATTGTTGTATGTATAGTTTTTAAGTTTTAAATTAGAAGAATAAGATGTTTTCAAAACCAAAGAAAGATAGAATTGTTTTTACTGTTTGTCTTTCCGTAAGGGCTTTAAGGCAATTTTTTTATTTTCAAAATTGCCATTATCGAAGTAAAATAACTAAATTTTTTTGATAAAATCCGATTTGGTAAACCGATTACACAAAATTATAAATCGAAATCTAATATCATAAACCGAAGTAAAACCAAATGTATAATTTATTGACACCCTAACATTTAAATTAAAAATTAAATCTGGGATCCACATCTAGACGTAATCCATCTAGCATCTCCGACAATCCATCTCCGATTAGCCCTCCGATTGACCGTTGTGATGACGCGGAGAGTAAAAAAATTGTTAAGGTGCAACAACACCGTGCCTCCGGTGTCGAGGCGAGTGCTCCGGAGTAACTCGAAGACAGCTCCGACGGAGCAGTCGCCCATACCGCCCATGCCACCGCGACGGAGTGACCGGCTTGAACATCCCATTCACGCGAGTCGTCTCAATCCACGCCGGCGGTGTAGCTCCAAAGTACAATTCGCTCCTCTTCTTCTAGAATGGCCTGCTCAGAATTGTAAAAGTAAGTTACTTTTATGAACTTCGACATTGTCTGAACTGTACTGGCGGTTTGTAACTCAAATTAAGATTAAAACGGGGTGCCTGATTGGCCTGATTTATGTATTAGCGGTTATGAACTCTAGTACTTATGTCTATATATTGAATTAAAACGGTTGGATTACTCTTATATCATCTAGAAACAGTTACAGAAGTTTATATATCAGAGCATACGAATAGGGTAGTTTTTCCAGATCTCTGTTCTCTCTTTCGAACTCCTTCGAACTCGTTTCCCTCAAAATTTTCCCCTGGTTTGCATTTAACTGTGTATCCAGAATATTATATCTTTCCTGCATTTCGGATTTGTTGTTTTGGTTCAAACAAAGGAATGGAAGACGGAAAAGCTTCAAATACAGGCATGGAAGATGGAGAAGCTTCAAATAACCTTTCGGAAAAACTACCAAAAAGGGTCCTCGGCGATGGTTGCTACCTCGTTGGTGCTCGGTTGAACATATATTCAAAGGCCAATGTCATTGGCCTCCTTGTCGCGGCGTTAAAGATTACTGAAGATCTTGAGAAGCTACTTCATTCCCAGTTTGGGAAGTTATTCCATCTACCTGTTGCAAGATGTTGCAACAGCGCCAAACTAGTCCATGCCCTTCTATCACGACAACTTGTGACCACGAAGAAACACGAGATTTGGTTCCTCTTTGGTGGACAGCCTCTGAGATATTCGATACGGGAGTTTAAGGAAATCCCTGGATTGAATTGCAATCCCAAACCTGATAACACAGAAGAAGAAGAAGATGTCGGAAAGACAGGAATCTGGAAGGACCTGTTCGGAAGAGCGACCGCTATGAACGTGTTTGATGTGCTTGAAATGCTGAAGGACACGGATCTACCCCGATGGAAACGGCTTCCATTGGCCCTAATCGTTCTTGTCGACGGTGTTCTGTTTTGCAATAGCAAAAATCTGGCCCTCACCGAGAAATACGTTGAGATGCTGACTGACTTGGATAGGTTCATGCTGTATCCATGGGGGAGGGTATCCTTTAACAAAACAGTATCTCGTTTTCAAGCTCCGAAGGCAATGACGGATGCCGAGAAAAGGGAGAATCCTTTAACACGACTGCGTCGTCAACTTAAACAGAAAAAAACAGTGCATGCTATGGATTCCCTCTATCACTACAACTCATGGCCCTCCAATCTATACCCATGTTGGTTTCCAAAATTCCTCAACCTAATAACTTGAAGAATTTCGTTGAAGATCCCGAAGGTTGTCAAAACGTTATCACACTATTGCATCTTGGGGACATACTTGCCGTGGAATCTGACCCTCTGGTAAATTATTTATAGTATTATATTTAATACTATTTGTAGTCTTATTTTGTAGTACTTGTCTTATAAGATAAGTACTCTGTGATTTTGGTTGGTAGTTTTGCAATTGTTTTTTTTGTCTTAGTTGTCTGTGAAACAGATGGTAGTGGATGATGGTGACAATGACCAACAGAATGAATTGCGTTGGGGAGATGAGGTAGAGGATGCCGAAGTTTCAGTCATGCAGGAACTCATGGCCGAGGGGTACAAATTCACACCTTCGGATTTTGCAGTGGCACCGGCACCTATCGTGGATCTTAGTGATGCAGAGGACGAGGCTACCAATGAACAGGAACCTGAGCCATCCACCCGACCGAAGAAGAAACTGAAAACTCATTTAACTGAAAAACGTAAGATGCAGAGGAAAAGAGGCAGGGGCAAGAACTCTTCTAATCTATCGGAAGATGAAACCCCTGAAAGTGGACAGATTGAAGATCTTAAAAGATGGATAGTAAGTCAGAATGAATTGCTCCTTCGTAAGATTAAGACAGAGTTGGACAAGAGATTGGGCGTATACCAACAGGACGAAGAAGATGACGATGTACACCAGTCTAAAGAAGATGGGGAACAGGGTGACGAAGGACATAATCCAAAAAAAGGTGGTCAAAAACCGGAGGAAGATGAAGACGTAGCCGCAGATGGAGGTGAAGAAGGAGGTGATGATGGTGCACAGTCTAGCGTACGCCATGATGATGGTGTACACCCCCAAGATGGTGTTCACCAGAAAGAAAGAGATGATGAAGAAGGGACCTCTACTTACTACGGCGGGACCATTATTCTCCCAGGGACCATGTGGACTTGAAGACTCTAGAAGCTCCGACGAAGACCCCTGAACCTGAACAAGCCAATTCAGGAACAACTCGTCCACCTCCTTACTTTGTCACTCCGGATGAAGATCCACCTTCTGGCCTCAACGAGATGAGCTAATTGTTTAGTCAGCAGCTGACTCTATTAAGTTTCATAACGTGAGTGTACTGTGCTATGTTTTTTATGACTTATTCAGGTGGATGGTGGTAGAACAAATTTGGTGTCAGGCACCTTAGTAGTCTACAAACCTCAGACTGCTCACCTATTGAGCTACGCATATAAGAAAAATGAAGCGCAGACAGATGCACAGGATGCACAGGTCAGACATTAAACTTGTTCATATGATATGCATGTGTATACAGTACTCTTTAGGTATACGCTAGGTATACGATTGATATGTTATACGCTTTATTGTTACGGTGGTTTGTAGGTTGTGGCTAATGAGGAGGACTCAAATGAGGGGAAAGATTACCATACTGCGCCTGAGGATGCAAGTGATGCTTCGCAGAAGACCCCTTGTACTCCAAAACCCCCACAAGAATTTGAGGGATCGTCTGGTGTAAAGAGAAAAAGTAGAGGAACAGGAAGAGGAGGAAGAGGTAGATGAATAGGAAGAGGAGGAAGAGGTAGAGGAAAATGCGCACGCGTACGGTCGGACAAGATTCGAGATATTTACACCACAGATTCAAAGGTGAAAGCTCTATTTGTATCCAGATCGAAAGCTGCGTACAAACCACTCAAAACAGTGGAACAAGACCAGTTCAAGGCATTCCAGGAGTTATTATCGCGTGAAAGAAACATGTAAGTTATATCGTATGCAAAGCAATTTATCCTTAAACTTTCATTGTTTTCAATTACCAATTGCTCTCATTACAGCGACTTTTGCATTGTCACTGGTCATACTGTGAACAATCAATTCTTCCTACAAATTGCGAAGCCTACTGAGTGGGTTAACACGATGGTAAGTATATAGTTAGTACCTACTGAATCTTTAATTATCTGTATTATCTGTTATTTATGTTTTGTTATTCGTCAGCACATGCAAGTCATAATGACCATGCTTTGGAGACGTAGAGGTGAAATATACTTGAAAGACAGGGTAGCATTTGTAGACACCTTGTTCATATCCATCATCGGCAACTACTACAACGATTTCATATCTGGAGACAAAAATCAGTATGACTGGGGGAAAACCATTCAGGGCATTGTATTGGGAAAACCTGCAAAGTGGGCTAATCAGCGTCAGAGGCAAATGTTTCTACGGTTTGTGGACGTTGTATACGTCCCGATGAACTGGGGGTCTGAGCATTGGGTGGGCCTTGTAATTGACTTTAAAATGGGCAACATAAAGATTTTGAACTCATTCATCAGTCATAATGATGAAACGGCTGTGGAGCAGTATATGGTGCCCATGTGTCAAAGTATGCCATTTATATTGAAGCGTTATTTGGATAGCAAATTAACGGAAGGCCTACGCACCACCTCTTACACATGGAGTCATTTGGAGGGCATATATCAGAACAAGAGATCCGGTGATTGTGGCCCATGTGCGGCCAAATTCTTAGAGATGCATGCTGCAGGGCTTGGAGTGGAGGATATGGGTTTGATAACGGATGATGACGTTGACAGGTTAAGGGAGAAATACGCCATGGACTCATACGAAGAGTTTGTTGGGAATCCGGCTGTTGCCAACGCTTAGGACGAATGGTGAAGTTTAATGTTGAACTTGACAATTTATGAAAGGTGTATTTGTTGGATTATGTGTTTGATAATGTTTAGGATGTGGGTTTATTTGATAATTTATATGCTTATAATTTAGTTTACTTTACTATCTGTAAATTGGTGTGTCAATTCGTAGTTCCAGGAATAATTTGGTATCCGTACACCAATATGCGTTTTGTTGTACATCAAATGCATCAAATGGGTGTACATCAAGAAAAATTTGTTTATACTTTACTTTATTTTAGTATTTATTAATTGGTGTGTGAATACGTTGTTCCCGTCTTAATTTGTATCTGTACACCAATATCCATTTAGGTGTACATCAAATGGGTGTACAACAAGAAATTTTTTGGTTTAGCCACCAATTTTACAAACTCATTTACAATCTTAACGGTAACCGCATTTAATGTATACGCTCAGTTAGTGAGATTTTTTAATAATTATATGTATGCAACATAAACAACCGTTATCCTCACAAATCCTAAACCGCAGTTATTTCATCTCCATAAACAACCGTTTTCTTCACAAATCAACCTCACAAATTAACTATGGCACCAAAGAGAGGGCGACGTGATGCAGATATCCGTGATTGTCAATCCCCTCTGATGGCGCTACCCAACGATCTATTGGAGAAGGTTCTCGCATACAGTTGCAACTCCGTCCAATAAATTTTCACACTAAAGCAAGTTTGCAAACGGTTCCAGGCCTGCACTTTAACGAAAAAGTTTCTAGCATCGGTTGATCCCGTGGAATTGGAGATGTCTATTCCCGAAGATTTCGATATGCCTTTTATCGCAAGTTGGGAATTTCCCAACTTGTTGAGGAGGATGTATGACGCACGCAATCCGGGTTTGCTGTTCATGAGGGGGATGCAAGACTACTTCTGCCGTGGAGAAAAATGTGGCATAAAACTCATCAAGGAATCTGCAGATATGGGATATGAAACAGGTATTTACATGTATGGCATGTACATAAAAGCAGTGGTCGAAGACCCTGTGGGTTTAGAGTATCTTTTAAAACTAGGCAGCAAGGCAATGAGGAGAATAATTCGGAAAATTATTGATGGAGGTGAGCGTGGTTATGTCAATAATTTGCCTGAAGAATTCTCGAAGAGGAGATTTGAAATTAATGCTCAGTTTGCCACACTTTGGTCTTGTCGCTGTGGTGTTGCCAATGCTCAACTTGATTGGCATGACGAATTGTTAGAAGGGGCCAAGCATGTGCACGTCGTGTTTCTGGGCACAAGAAACGCAAAAGTTCTTCGTATTTGTTTGGTATGCAGTGAGGTCTGGGCCGTCAATGGAAAAATGGTGACTAATTGGTGAAACTCAACCAGTTTCGCTGTGTACACCTCGGTGTGTACACCTGCGTTGTGTACACCTCGGCGTTGCTGTTATTTCAGAATTCATCGAATTGATTAGCATCCACGAATATATTTTTTTAGTTTATGTAATCGAGTAGATTCCATATTTCGTACTTTATGATTTAATCTTTTGTTTAGGATCTGTACACGTACTTATTTACGCCTTCTATGTATGTAGGTGTACTTTGTTTTGGTTTCTATCTATATATACTTTAATTGTGTTGACTTTAATTAATTTCGGTGGGTGGTTGTGGCAGTTTTTCGAGAAGCATTATCTCTTATATCTTTAAAGTCTCAGTTTACCTCTCTCTGTACGCCTAATAACTAGAAAATAAAGAACACCTCAATCTGGACTCAATATGTACACCTAAATTTGTACACCTAAATTTGTACTCAATAAAGCCATTTTTGAGTATACAAACGACATTATCTCTTTTGTGGGAATTTTCGGAGAAGATTTGGTATACAAACGACATTATCTATTTAAAGTCTCACCTTACCTATTCTGTACGCATATTTAAAAACTAATCATGATTTCGTCTATGTGGACTCAATCTGTACTCTATATCTCGGTTAACGTGATGTTGAGAAAATTTTTGTAATGATGACAAGAAATATAGTTTCCAAAATATAAAAAGGTATGTGTTGTTATTGAAATTTCGATTTAATCATAAATAATAATAATATTGTGGCAGAAATCATAAATGTATTGTGGTATATCATAAATTAAATTAAATCATTAATCATAAAAGTTTAATGGTGAAATTTGCTTGGATTTGGTTATTCTCTGTATTTATTGTGGTAATTTAATTTTGCCGGTAAACGAAAAGACACATTTTCGTCTCTTTTCAACGTCTCTCTTCAAAGACAGCTATTCGGCTCTATTAAAACCGCACTACCTCTTTAAATTCAATCCCTTCACCGTAACATCCTACTTAGAACCATCATAACTTCCTCTTTCATTCCATTTTCAATCCATTCTCCTCTTCCTCAATCCATTTTCTTATCTTTTCTCTTTTCATCGAAATAAACGATGGTTCCAAGGAGAAACAGAGGTGGTGATGGTGATTTTTCCCATCTTCTCTCACTCCCTGATGAATTGCTGGAAACAATTATGGCCGCTACAAACCCATCTATAAGGGAAATAGCCCGCCTCCGTGCTGTATGTTCTCGTTTCAACCGTATCGGCACAAGCAGGGGTTTCTATCGAGCGATTGATCCCGCCTAAATCACGCATGAACAAGCGGCGGTTCCACATTACCCAACGATGATGAGGAGATTCTATGACGCGGGTAATTCAGGGGTTATTTTCCAGAGGGGGATGCAAGCCTACTTTTTGTTCCTCGATGGTGAAGGCGTGGAATTGATAAGGGATGCTGCGGAGAGAGGCTACGACCGAGCCATTTTTGTGTACGGGATGTGGCTCAGAGCAGTGCCGGAAGACTTCGTCCGTGCAGAGGAGTACTTGGGCAGGCTCACAGTGCAAAATCGGAGGAGGATGAGCCGGTTGTTGCTGGCCGACGTTCCACACGGATGGAATTTCGATTTGCCAGTCGATTTCACTGAGAAAGCGGCTGCCTTTCATCTGAGATTCCTGGCGCTGTACACCTGTCAGTGCGGGGTTATCAATTACTGGCTCCAGTGGTTTGCAGAAGATTTTAAGCAGCCAAAGTGCACAACCTGTTTCTGGGCCCAAGAGACCCAAAGGTTCTTCCGCTTCATTAGGAACGTCGTTCCAAGCTGGCCGTTGATGCTCGATTGGTGAAAGCCGTAATCTTAGTATTTTGCTGCATTCGTGTCTCTTTAATTATTTATGTTGTCTTAGTATTCCGAACTACAACGGATGTTTTTCAAATTGCATGTCTACTTTCGTTTTTTAGTTGCAACTCTTACTTTTGTATAAACATAATCTATCTTAGTAGGTTATTTTATGATATTTATGATACTTATGTTCGTAAATGTAGTAATTAATCATAAAGGTGTTTGAAATTTTTTTAAATATGGAGAATTTAGCCTTTCCCAAAATCGAAATGAAAGTGGCTACATATCATTTCATCTAGGACAGTAATTAATTATGTACACCTATTCTCTGTAATTATTTATGTACACCTATTACCGTATACCTATAGACATATAGACGTACACCTATTTACGTATACCTATAGACGTACACCGACTTATGTATACCTATTACCGTATACCTATAGATGTACACCTACTTACGTATACGGGATCAGAAATAGATTGGAAACATAAAGCTGTTTGAAAATAAAATAACATTACACATTTTTAAAGAACGATGAATACCTACACCTATTTTAACGTAAACTTACACCTATATACATCCACCAACATTGGTATACGGGATCGTATACCTTTTTAGACATAAGGCTGTTAGACATAAGGCTGTTTTTAAACTTCATATTTATTTTTGAAATAACCACAACAATGGGAAAATATATTGAAATATTAAAATTTTAAAAACAATCGACAAGCAACCATATCACATCGATACTAAAGCATGTATGTTATGCGTTGTGCCGAACATCTAAGATAACATTTTTCACATTTAACAATATAATGCAAATTCTCGTGATACACTCCGCACGGCGCTTCGGTTTCTTCATGAATGAGACTAGGGTACCTGAACTTTTTCTTGTATGTATGTTTATTACGTGGGCAAAATGACCAGAATAAGGATACTATATCTTCTGCGACTTCACGAAGTTCACGAGAATGATGAGGATAGTGGTACCTGAAAACCATCTTTAGAAGTTTTTTCCCTCTGTTAGGGCGACCCACGCACATTTGCAAAATGGCACAGCTGTAAGTGGCATAGACGTCTGATGGAACGAGCTTATTTAGCATCCTGATGGCGGTATAGATCTTCTCCTCTGTTGACACGAACCTTATAGCTTCGACCAATATGGCCCGTGGATTTCTCGACGCTAAGCAGCGCAGGAATAAAGGTCGATATACTCCACCAGGGTATATCCGAGATGGTGTGTCATGCAATGTCCATAGGTATGCCGATCTGAGTACTTCCACGCTAAACGCAATGTCTCTACCACGGGTCCCTGCCAGAATAATCGGTCCAAGGTAGATGCAGTCAGACTCAGCAACTTTCTTGACAATGATTTCGAAAACATGATCTGGTAAATCTGGTAAATCTGGCATTTTTTGGGAAGGTTATAGGGTTTGTGTAGGGTGAACTTTCTTCGCAATATTATGAAACTATATATTGAATTCGATGGGTAGTTCTTGTTGAGAAATAGTTAATAGTAAGACAATTAGTAGTTGCAGGGTTTAGTGTGTAGATGAACAGAAGTAATATTACAATAAGTTTGTGAAGTGATGTTTACCAACTACAGAAATTAAACTACTAGTTACATTGTTACAACTAGTTACGTAAACAAATATAACATAGTTCATGCATTTCCAAGTTTAAATATAGGGAAACATAGTGTACGCAAGAAACAAAACCGAAAAACAAAGCGAGATCCCCACAAAAAAAGCAACAAGAGACACACAAAAACCAATGTGGCTCGCTCTTTCCTAAACACAACAAAAGACACACAAAAGCCACACCCGGTCAACCCAATGGTTCTTTGCAT